GCCACTTGTCACTCCGATGCTTTTTTTTGACACTTTAAGTTCGCAGGATTGTAGCCCTACAGGTCAGTTTGACTGTCATGACCAACTGGAGGTCAAAGACCAGGTTCTTTACTGGATCTTTGCACTTGTAGGGTAGTGTTTGGGTGGAACATGTAGAGTTTGGGTATGGTGAGTCTGGTGCCGCTTTTTGGTACCGAGGCCCTACACGGGCATGGGCTCTGAGGGAGGCGGCGTCGTCGGCATGATGGAGGTCGTCGAGAGCGACTTCGCGCGCTTGGAGGCGGAGACCACCTCGGCAGAAGAGGCGTCCAAGAAGGCCGCGACCTGGGGTGCGGGTTGCTAGACATTTGGAGCGGTTGAGGGATGGAGCGCTTGACTGGAGCGTTGGAGCAACACGCCGCTTTGGGGACACGCGAGATTCGCGACACTATGATTTGAGGGCAGGAGTAACTAGCAGGTCAACTGCAGAGTGTACTTTTGATTTCTCGATGAGGCCGTGTTGTGTGAATCCGGGTGAGATCTTTTGATCTAGAATGACTAACACACAGTGCTTCCTTCAGTACTTGTGCCAATGACATCCAATGACCATGTTAACATCATATATACAATTCTAATATGATATACAATTATTTTTTTTTTGTCCGGCTCTTTTCCGCAGTGGAAGGTCGGCGCTGGTCTCATGCCAGCCAAGTGCGAATGTCGGTAGATCTCGGCTTTGAGCAAGGGTTGCGAAGCTTCTGCGACAGGTGGATCACTTCGCCGTGGATGCGTGTGCGGAGATGGCACAGGTTGCACTCCAAGCTGTTGCCCGTGCGGTGCATCTCATGTGTTGGATGCCCAAACCATTTGCTGGCCTCGAGAGGGCCATGGTGACATACCTCTCCCAGGAAGCGGTGGAAGATGTCCTCACCTGCTCTAGCCAACACGTACCCTTTGCAACGGTCACACCTGAGGTACGCTTTGTCAAGCCGTAGATGGTGTGTGCCTTCAACTGCCTCGCCTTGGGCGTCCAAGAGATCGTGTATGACCTCGAAGCGGGTCTTCTTGGAAGTACGACCCGGCACAGCATGCGTGCAAGCTTGGGCGAGGCCGTCCTTGATCTCATTGACCATGGACTTTGCATGAAAACGCTGCTTGCACTGGGTGCATTGCACTCCCGATCTGTAAGCAATCCACTGATGTCCCAAGGCACTGGGCTGAGACAGGAATTGCTCCAGCAGCTGCTTCTTCTGAGTAGCAAGGGGTATCTTCTGACAGTCAGGAATCTCCTCTCGCTTGTGAATGAAGTGGGCTTTGTCCTTGAGGAAAAACTCGATTCGTCTCGCTGCCACGTGAAGGATGTCTCTGGTGTCCTCATCAATGTGGCGTTGGAGATCAAGGGTCTCCTCTGGCCTGGCTAGGAGAGCAGCCTGGGTGGCCTTGGCCTGTGTGTCTTGCTGGAAGGCCTGTCGATTTGGGCTGGAGTGCATTTCCTTGGTCTGGAAAAGAAGCAACCTGATCTGAGCAAAGTCCTCATGCTCCAGACCTTGAGTGAGATCAGGGAATTTGGCATAGGCCGTCCATGGATTCCAAGCGTCCCAGATGGCCTGGCTGAAAACTGCCACATGAGCCTTGTCCCTCAAGTGAAGAGACATGTGCTTCAAACCATAGAAGAGGGCTCGAAGACGGGTGGCTTCACCTGGGCAGATGCCGGTTAAGGATCCAACTCTCTCTTTGGACTGGATGTGGTGAATGCAAATCGCAAAGGCGAATCGCTTGTGTCGTGGGTCTCTGCAGGTGGGAGCAACGGCGAGAGAGACAGCATGCCCAGGAGGAAGATGGCACGCCTCTAAGTCCGCCCAGAGCCCTTCACCATTGAAGGTTGCCATTCCCCCATCTTTGATGAAGATGGACTGAGTCATGCCTCGGTTCCACAGCTCCGGTTCTGTGCCTGCTTGAAGACGCTCACGCCATTGGTCCGGAAGGGCAGGGACTTTGCCATCCCAAAAGGTGCACTCCCATAGAAGGTGGATGAAGGTGAGCTCGACACCGCATAGCGGACACTTGCCTGACTGGCCATGGAAGGTGCCTTGGTGGAAGGCCCGAAGGGCAGAGTTGAAGCGCTCCGTGGAGATCTTCTGGAGCGTGTTGCTGACCGTCCAATCCAAAGGACGTTCCAAATCGTGGCAACCCACATGCCTTGTCAGGCGGAGGAGCCGTTGCCAGCGAAATTCCTCTTGTAGCTTCTGTTGGATCTCAGGCCAACCATCCGTCAGGCAAAGATGACAGTCAGGAATGCCTCCATAACCGGTTCTCTTCCACAATTTGCCATTTGAGATGTCGAAGTCATAGTCAAGGAGGTAGGCTTGTAAGGCTTGAAGAGGACCAGTCACGACTTGCCACCTGTATTTGGCCTTGAGGAGAATGTCCAAGGCGGAGTTCCAGCTGATCCAGAAGAGGTGCTGGGCACTGTCATCAAAGGCATGGAAGATCTTCCAGACCGTGTGGATGTGCTGAAGGATGATTGAATCGCCTGGATCTGGTTTGTTGGGGTGCATGTCGAAGACAACATCAACAGAACCAGACCGTTGAAGGCGTAGACCCCGGGCAGCCATGACGCGGATTTGTTGTCGTCTTTGGGGGCTAGCCCGTTGGCCTGAGCGCCCCAGGTCATCACTGGATGGATGGCCCCTCGATGCAACCTGTATTTGATGCTGGGATTGAGCTTGAGGCGCATCATGATCCCAGCTCTGCCTCTGCCCTTGAGGTATCGCTTCTTGATCTGTGCGACCCGTCTCCGCTTGGAGTTTGTGGCGTCAATGCCAAGGTCCCGGAGAACATTGTGATGCTGAGGGTCTCCAGGTTGTAGGTTGGTGTCCAGAGCTTTTGCAGCCTCCTTGCTGCTGGTGAGGAACCCGGTTTTGGCAGAGTTGATCTTGAGTCCGGCCTGCTCCAGGCGTTGCTTCAGGGTGCGGAAAGCCAAGATGGCTTCACGAGCAACGTAGTCTGGATCCCTGCCCTTGATGTCGAAGGAAACATCGTCAACCCAGGTCTGCAGCTGAACAGCAGGGTGAGTTTGGACCAAGTCTCGCAGAGGTCGAAAGAGGACCAATTTGGCAATTGCCGGAGCTTGAGGACAGCCCTGAAGGATGCCTTTCTCATAGTAGATGGGATTGCCCGCGATGCCTTCTGCCTGGATGAGCCTCGGGCCCGTGTACAGGTCAAGCGCCAGCTTCAAGTGCAGCGGTGGATAGTGAAGCTCTTCGGCAGGTTCGATGAGGTGGTCAAGCTGCACTGTGTCGTAAAAGCAGGTGAGGTCTGCCAAACAGGTCACAGTATGGATGCCTTGGTGCTTGCCAATCTCAGCCTTCAACATTCGCCCGACCGCAATGGAGAGGCAGTCTTTGTGAGGGCGTGCAAAGTCCCAAGGCATATCCTGGTCCAAAGACAGCTGCCAGCGATGAAGCTCATGCTTCCTGTAAGTGTTCCACAGCCTGTAAAGGCAAGATGTGAGGGCAATGGGTCTCTCGATGCGCTCATTCTTTGGGATCATGACGATGTTGGTGTGTCGAAGCTGGATTGGAAGTTCAGCCGAGCGCTCCATCTCAGTGAATAGAGAGGCCAACCTGGATACCGCCGGATAAGGGAGATGCCGTAGGAAATCGTAAGAAATTCCATCCGGTCCAGCTGCCTTGTTGGGGAGCTTCCTCATGAGTTTGCCCAGGAGGGCGGTGTCAACTGGAGGTAGTTGAGCCGCTGCCGCTTGTGCAATCCGTCGCAACTCCTGAATGCCTCTGATGTGGCATGGGGCCTGAAGAGGTTTCCAGATCTCTCCCCATTGCTGTTCCCGGGCTGGTATCCTTTGAGTATGTGGAATGTCCTGGAAGGGTCGTTTCCAGCTATGGTCTTTTTGACGTAGACTTCTGAAAAGGCCCCTGAGGCCTTTGTCATGAGCCTTTTCCAGCCACTCTCTGAACTCGTGGTTGGTGGCACTGAGAAGTTGCTGTTGAGCTCTCTCCTGTTCCTGATGGACTGCGTCTTGCAGCTCGGCAGGATCAATGGCCGCCCCAAATGTCCACTGAGTGAGTCTCTCAGCAAAGTGTGACTGATCCAATTGTTTCGAGGCATGATGGGAAAGCCTTTCCAGCATCTGTCGCAGATCATGTAGGACGTTGGGATGTCTCTTGTGCTGAGCCACGTTAATCCGGACTCCCATCCTCTCCCAGTAGGCAGCACTGCCTTTCTTCCAGACCTGAGGTTTGGAGGAGTCAATCAAGGGAGCTTGGAAGAGCTTGATTTTTGATCCTCGGCCCGTGGTTGGCTTCTGCAGGGTTTGGCACAGGTACTTCTCAGTCTGTGTGGCCCACCTGGCAAAGTCTGAACCCAATCCAGTGATGGTCTGCCCGATGATCTCAAAAGGGCCATCATCTTCGTTGTAAGAGGTCCAATTGTTCGGAAGTTGGTAGACCCTTGCGATGGGTGGGAACCGCTGAAGTTGTTGGACTGGCACTGCCCCAGTGGTGCAGTTCAGCTGCAGAGAGAGAGCACAGTGCGGCTTCCAAGGAACTTCCCAATCCGCTTCCAAGGTGACAAAACTGGCCAGAGAGATGGATACAAGGCAGAAGTCGAGGTGACTGCCTTGAAGTGTCGTGGGCCCTGTGGTGGCCACAATCTGCGCTCTCATCTTGCTGGGGATGTTGGTTGCCGCCAGCTCCTCCGGGGAAGTTTGCCAGTCTCCGCCGACAATGAATGGTGCTTGGAGATGATCCAAGAAGTGAAGCAGCTGCTCAAGGATGTCTGCATTCAGTGTCGACTGCAGGGTTTCGCCCGTTCTGAGGTAAAGCTGGACGAGATAGATGTTTTGGCCTTGGCGCTCCATACAAAGTGCTGTCCATCCATTGCCCTGCTTGGTGTAGTCGTGGACGTGATGGATGAGGTGTCGGGCAGGATGAAGAGTGATGAAACCGCCCGTTGAGCCTCCATTGCCAGTGGGCTCGGCTGCCACTCCATGACAATTCCATCCTCTGGTGGAGAAGTACTGCATGGTGTTATCGAGACTCGCGGTTTGCAGGTGGGTTTCCTGAAGCATCAAGATGGTGTCCGCCTTTGTCCAAATCCAGTCCTGTACTTTCTTGCCAAAGAAGGTGACATTGCCAAAGAGCAACTGCAAAACCTCTTGCGCCTTCTTGGGCTTCTTGGCTAGGGTCTCCGCAATCTCAATGGCCGTGTCAGGGACCAGTTCAGCCGGGCTTGAGAGGACCAACCAGACCTGAGAGATCTCCTTCATCTGTTGAGGCGAAATGAAGGAAATCGGAGTGGGGTAAGTTTCATCGTCCCCCAGCCAGTAGGCATTGTCTATGGCCA